GAGGCTTTCGTCAATCTCATTTTTCTATTGCATCTACTGAGCATCACTTATTTTCTTCTGGTTTGCCCTGAGCAAAGTATGCTGTTTCATCCTTCGTGGTCTTGAAGTTAGGGATCAGTTGCTTGTGGCTCTCTTTCAACATGACAGATTCAGTGTTATTGTTATTTTCGGTTAAACTATCGGTTCTTCTCCTTATAAGATGCTGATCTGTCAGGTTAGTCGGATGCCTCATTCGATACTCATCGTGGAGCATTTATTGGCAATTCGATAACGGCACTCGTTCTATTTTGTACTGTTTCGTGTTCTTCGATAGCAGATTGCACTCGCCTGTCATCAGGTGTGTAAACGGCTGCTTCTGTGCTATTCCAAAATATTTGTGCAGCCCTGTCGACTTGGTTGTTTACTTGCGCAGCTTCATACTTGTCGTTATCAACATCGCTGCCTGTTTACCTATTTATTCCGATAGTGTTGTCTGTGCATGACAGACATGATGAGTAGGCAGCAACTTAGTACCCTTGTGGTTCCACGAATTTCTCTGAACGTGGCGGTTACAGGAGGTGACGGTTTGACTTCTTGGCATCTGGTTCCGGGGTAGACTTTCGCTGCCAACTGCTTTCAAGGAGACTTGGCACTGGTAGACTTGCCGCTATTTGTTTAGTATGGGTCATCAGAATATTTTTTTACAACGATGGTAGACAGAGCCCTACCACCGTCTCCATCCAGAATGTTGATAGGTCAGTTGAAAGTTGAGCCTTCCTTTGAATTTCTGGTAGTATGAGAGAGGTACCTGCGAACTATGTAAACCAACCTTTCAAACTATTGCAGTGATCTTCGTAAACGACTAAAAATTTTTACTTAGATTGGGTCAGGCAGTTTCATGTCAGCAAACGAAAAAAATGCAATATTGTACAGTGCATGCAGTATAGAAGTGTATAATGTACAAACTGTATCTTTTCTTTTTATCCAATTGCAACGAAGGCGATGCGCATGTCGTACAAGTATTAAATCTGTATCGAATAAATGCCTACTCACAATAATCCTGTCGATGTCATGTCAGGTCTAACGAGATCTTCCCACTTGTTGGAGGATTTTGCCAGCGGTCACCCTCCATCAGGCTTTGCGTTCAGCATCCGCTTCGCAGGGCAGCTATCCTCCATTCGCTAGTAATGGTCTCACCATCTTAAACGCCTTGTTTCCAGCCAGTCGGTCACTTTTGTTGGATATTTTAGTTTCTGTGCGTTTAGTGTAATCATGGATAAATCCGCCGAGTAAGTGATTCGCCCGAAACAGCTTTATCAGAGACATGATAGCCGTCCGTTTTAGGGTGTCATAACGGACTTTTTCCGGCAACCGTATTGGCTGGATAGAATGCACTCCACCGTACACACCCTGCCAAGCATTTGCTTATGTTGGACATTGCAAACTGCTCACGACTCAGAGACGACAGGCTTGACTTTAAGATCATGAGTATACTTCGTACTGTATACTATATGTATATTGTATGTACAGCTGTTCTGTGTATATTACTTGCTATATGCGGAATATAGAGTTACAACTGGACTTTTATGAAATTTTGCAGTAATTGCGCTAACTAAAAATTTGCTGCCAATAAACCGTTCTTAGAAATCAGTAGATTAACGACCGTTACAGCCAATACAGAAGCGTAAAATTAACAGAGTGGACACCTTAAACAAGATGAAGTAATGCTTTTTAAATTGATTTGAATGTCGAAGAATGAGCTCTAAATCTATGTTGCTTGGATGAGTGATTATCGGTTCTGACATGTTCTGATATTTATTACTCTAGCGTTTCAATTTCTGACATGATTTACTCGATGTAGGCGCACGGAACCTTTGCTTCTGGTCTACTAAGGGGACAGTTTAAGAACGCTGCGGCTCCATGGTATTTCAGCACCTCTAGTGCAGTGTTTGCAGTACCATGTTTGTGAGTAGGACTAAACATCGGTGGGTTCGAAGAGCACTGAATAAATCTGCCACAATTGGTAGCAAAATATATAGACAAATCTTAGCCTCGGTTTATCAAGGCAACGGGATTATCTTTCATCTGTTGACTGTTCTCCTTCCTTATTTTCACCTGTTGTTTCGCGACTCTACAGTTGCTGGGGGAAATGTTTATTTCCTTATATATCTTCATCCAGTTCCACACTTTTCACTATATTTCGTTCGTTGACCAGTTTTTTTAGGGCATCCATCAGTCCCCAATGTCAAGGTTATGAATAATTGAATTTCATATTACCTAACGACAACTACTAGTTTTTTGAAATGCCACGGTATTTCTATTGTACTATAAAACAGAGCGGCCAGCTTTTTGAGAAAATCGTGCTTCAAGGCTTACCCCTGCATCGAGACCTAATGAAATGATCAAAAGGCTCTGAAGCGATGACGTCGTGCCATCGGCACAACTAATGGTTATTGACGCCGGGAGGACGCGTTGTAATACTTTATGTCATCTACTTTCTAAACATAGGATGGTTCCTTATGACAATGTTCATAATGGTGAGTAGAGAGAGACAGGGAAGATGATGATGATTTTGTAAGGACAGCAGTGTGACGAATTTTCCCTTATATTCTCAGTCTTTCACCAAAAAGAAAAGCGCCACGAGTAGTTGGCATAGCACACATAGTCAGGTAATCAATATTCGCTGGTTTTCTTATCCGCCGTTTGCTCTTTCGTCGTCATCATGTGATTTTCGACGAGATTCTCTTTCGCGAATCTTTATCCTGACTTTCTGACCACTTGTGAAAACAGAAGAATTGCGATCTGTCAGTTTGGATAAAAAGCGGTTCACAGACGATTGTTTCTCGTATTATTGTGTACCGAACACTTGAGCCTTGAGAACAGTCGCATCTCTTCGAATATTTTGCATCTATGATTCGATTTTGTGAATAAACACATTCTTTCTATTAAGGCAAAACTAAGAAATGCCGCAAGCTTTTGAAGATAGTTTAAAACAGTTTCACTTGTTTGCAAGTGTATTAAAGCATGGATGGCAAGAGTTTTTGAAGAATATTTTTGCAAAAGTCAGATCTGATAAACAAAATATTTTGTTTTAAACTGTTCTGAAAGTTTTATTATTATTTCCCATTGTAGATTTGCATGGTGCCAAGTGATCACGCATTCCCGTTGTTTCTAAAAGTAAAAGACCCTTTTAGGCAACAAATGCGCAGAAATGTCGTATGCGTTTGGTTCTAAAACGGGTATCAGAAACTGTCTTATGATAATAAATTCAATTTGGACGTCAGTTCGTCATCCCTGTGAAATATTGTTAACGTTTGTAATTGTCATATATCGGTTTAGTAAATTAAATATAAAATATCAATTTTTTTCGATGTGCTGGTATATTTTTTTAGCTTAAGCGTTGTTTATGAATTAAGCGTTATTCGTGTCGGTTTTGTTGCTACTCATATCCATTGAACTGTTCAAAAGGTAGATCGATAAACTAGAATGGTCAGCAGAGTTCTATTTAAACTAGCTAGAACCATTGTGACCAACGCAGAGCTGAGCCTAAAGGCGAAAGTTTTTAAAGTTCTCGGTTTTAAAGTCGATCTTCATTCCCATGTTCATCTATGGCCATGATTGAAACAATTCGGTCTCGGGTACAAGCGTCTGAAATAGGCTTTTTGAAACAGATCGCTGGGTTCACCCGTACAGATATCCGAGGGAGAGCCTTCGTGTACCGCTGATGCTTCTTCAAATTGAAAAGTCGTAGCTGCGATGGTTTGAGCACGTTTTATGAATGCATTTAGAGAAAGGCAAACCAGCAACTACTTGCCCAATTAACCTGCCACCACCCCAGGGACGGCCAAGGAAATGCATGGCCAAGGGTATGGAAGGATTTCGCCGCTTCGGGTTATCCTCTGCCGAAGCTCAAACGCAGGCACAGGATCGGAAGCATTGTGCGACATTGTCTGATCGTCTGCCTCATCAGCTGTAAAGAATAAGTGACTATAGAATCTGACTGATTTAAAAGCCACAGAATTTCAGTATGAAGTTTCTAGCGATGGTTTTCATTTATTAATTAAAATTTAATTTCGATTCATAAATGCGATGTTTCGATCTCTTTCTCACTGAATTTTTTCACTGCTCATTTGATGTTCTTTTCATTTACTATCCTCAGCTGCTAGACTTCGAATGTCAAGGCGAATTTTCGATCCGTAGTACTGCTTTGGTAGTTTGCTGACGGCAGGTGTGACGAGGCTGTTCGACTTCAGATTCATTATCTAGCTGTTTACGCTGTTTCGGTCTGTTGATTAGTTCTTACTAGGTTGTTCAGTCGGTAGAACGTTAAATTCGTTACCAAAAGATCTCGGATTCGAGATGGGACCCTTGTTGAGTTAGTTGCCTTCCTTTCTTCCTAGGCTCATAAATGAGTTCCATTGTGTTGGAAGGAAACTCATGTTATTATTGATACGTAACGGCTGTCGATTTTAGCTTTATAATAAAGTGCTCCTGGATAATGATATGAAATTAAATGTCAGCGCCCTATCATTAACGTCATTTAAATAAGGGCGACAAAAATGGTCCCATCGTGAAAGTGCAAGAAACGTTAGACAACATTCCCACGGTTGCAAATTTGTCTTCCTTCTTTTTGAAGCGTCTGTTCAGTCAAATGCATTCCACCATGGGGGTCATTCGGACATTGCTTGTTCTAATGCGTCTCTCATCTTTTCTCGTGTATGTACCTTACTTGGATAAACTGAAACTTAGTTTTGACCGAAGTGCTTTTTTTGAACCTTTGGCTCACGTTCGTTGTATTGTATGAATCTTCTTTGAGTTCCAAAGTAATCGAATCAGGACTGCTGTGCCATTAGCTGATGTCCCAACGGATTTGCCAGAGTAAGGATATAAAATACTTTATGTTTACGATCGCCGTTTTCCATTTTGCAATGCTAAAACTTTGATTATGTAAAGTTAGTTCATAAATCGTTTGTTTTAATAATGCATTGTTGACCTGTTGAGGTTAATCGAAGTACTTGCTACTGAGGTTCTGGTTTTTAGGACATCCTACTTCTTCGCCTGTAACTCCCGATGAAGTGTTGGAACATTATTGGATGTCGTGCCAGCGACAATCTATTACTCCGAAGAAGAGTGTCGTGAACCAAATTAAGGTGACTGAGCTGCGCTCAACTAATGCTTGACTTAATTTATGAGCGCGTTGTTGCCTTAGTTGAACTCAGGTTGGGCATGGATGAGATAATATCTCTGTTCGTGAGAAACGTTTCATTGGAATTTGGCGGTCATGCAGTGAGCCGTTCGTCAGACCTGAGCTTCCTTAAAATTATTCGCTTTTGGCGATAACCAAGGGCGATACTTGTCAGCTCCCATTAAACATTAACATGGATGTAAGATTCAAGTAGCTTTTTTCTGGTTTTGGGCTACTATCGCTTGATCCTCTAAAAAATATGTTTTTGTCCTAATTTGAACTCACAGATTCAACATGTAAGGTATAAAACCAAGCATGTACATTTCCACTGATATTGTACATGTTCGTTACTGCCACTGTTTACTATGGAAGCATTCTACGTACTTACCGTAGGATAAGGGACCCCCTTATATGTCTATTGTCCTTCAGGTAGCCTGTTCATTGTTTTAGTAGCAAATGGCGAACCATCATTTAAAGCTTGATTTCTAGTTGTTATCAGTTTTGATTTATTTTACAGCGATGGGACTCGTTGACAGAGCCGCGGCAGCACAAGTTCAGCTTGGCCGGTCAGTTGTGATTATTCACTTTGACTTCGCTTTCATTGCTTAAGTCCATTTCAGGCGAACACGTGAACTATGCCCACATGGATTGCCTGGAGGAAATATTCCAGAGAGTGCGCTTCGACATTATCGACTTTTCCAAGTGCTCTATCGACGATGACGTTAGTTTGTTTGTCTTTGTATTGACGCACTCTCTATTTGTCCATCTATCTTCGGTCTTTTACAGACGCTGATTGCTCTGTCAGACATGATCGAGTTCTACGATTTGGCGGTGTGTTTGAATCTCAGTTACAATCAGAACATCAGTTTGCGTGGATGGCAAACCCTGTTTCGAATGCTTAGAAAGGTATCGTATAATTTGAATGTCTAACCAGTGCCAAATACCAGTGACGATCATCATGATCTTAATAATAATTTTGATGACGACAATAATGTTCAAGATGAGAACGACGATGACCCCAATGATATCCATAATGAGAATGATGATGCAGACTTTTAGTAGCGCTAAGACGGCGATGCACTGAGTAAATCCAACTAGACAAGTGGGTTAGTTTGGGCACGATTTATTTATGATCTCCCGTGCATGCTAGATTTTCTCAAATCTCTCACCATCCGTTGCTGACGTTGATGAGCACGGCAAGTTCGGCACAAAATAAATAGAAACCATGCGTATGCCTGGCCAACGACTAACATTACGCTGTTGTTGACCAGACTTATTAAATGGAAAAGTTTTGTGTACATGAATCTTTTAGCATGCAAAATAATCCATTTTCTTTTAAGTGATAAGTAATGTTTCGAGCACTGCAAGATGGATGAAAATAGCAACCAGTTGCACTGATACAAAACAGTCCTTAGTTCTGGCAGTATTTAATGTAGATAGTCAGTTTGCGACTTTATTATCTTTATTTGTTTTACTTTTCTACTTTGACAGTTTGTGTTTTAGCCGCTTTGTTACTTAATATACCTTGCTTGTTCTTTAGACTCCGTGCGTACAAACTCTTAACTTGAATTCTACTTCGTTGTCTGATCGTGCGGTGCCTATGTTAAGTAAGGTTTTGCGGGCAGATGCGTATCTGCAGTGTCTGTACTTAGAACACTGTTCTATAAGTGGCAAGTCGCTTCTGTTGCTAGGTACGTCCGTGTTGGTTATGCGTACGAGGGTCGGTGTTGAGTATTGATCGTTGCCCCTCTGTTTAGCCAATGGTCTGAAATCCAACGCAAGTATCCGTGAACTGTACTTGTCCGATAATAACATATGTTCAACGGATATTACGTACATTAGTCAAATGCTTAGCAGCAATTCGACCTTAGAAGTACTGGATTTGAAAAACAATCAGATTCAGGTAATTGTTTTTTTTTGTTTCAAAAAATTTGTTGGTTTTCAAAATAATTGAAGTACTGATATTTTACCGTATGGAAAGTTGGTGTTGTGATATCCTGATGCTTACCTTAGAACCCACGTGCGGATGATCATTGCTGCCCAGTGACTAGCCACCTGCATTTTATACCGGGCCATTAGCAATTTGCATGGTGTTCTTCTGTAACATAAAGAAGAGAAAATTCATACGTGCTGGGATTCATATCGCTCTTACATGTCCCTTCTGGCTTTTGTCTTTCACAGATTTTGCATATGTGACTGTTTATAATATAATTAATAATTGTAATGGACATTGTAAATGTGCGTGACGTCATGCTGCAGAATAATTTCCCAAGCAGCGTTTTCTTGATAGCAAAAAAGGTGTAGTACGATTGTAATAGTGGTTGGGCTACAAGTCATCGCCACAAGAACGTACTCCTCGCGGCGGCCTTGCTATACTATATATTAGTTTCGCCATAGTACAGCTGGCTTTGTATAACTTTGTATTATGACGACGGGTGTGTTAGTGTATTATGTTTACAGGATAGTGGCCTGCCGGCGCTGTGCAATACGCTGACAGATACTGCCGTGCAAGGCAAGACAAAACTTCATACGCTGATTTTGTGGAACAATCGATTAACGGCCAGTGGCATGGTTCACATCTCGAATTTGTTGGTAATGGTGCAGTTTTCTATAGTTTTTTCAGAGTGTGTTTTATGTTAGATTAAATGCGGAAGATTTTCTATTTGTAAAAACGTTATTTATTTAATATAGTTCTATGTGGCAAATGCATATCTAAAGTTTAAGGTTCTCCCCCCCCC